GTTTATATATATATATATATTAATGATTTATTATAAATTTATTATTTTTAATTTAATGATTATTGACATACTTTGACATTGTGAAGAGATGCTATTTTAACTGTTTCATATTTTTTTTAATGTTTTATTCATTTTTTAATTATGATTTAAGTTATTTGATAATTAAAAGTGTTGAATATGTTCTTACATGAATAAAAATGTGGTAAAAGATGAAGATGAACCTTCTATCGATGTGTGAGATAAAAATAATTTAATTAATTAATAATGAGATTTAGACTTCAATCAAGATTTAAAGGTTACGTATAATTATTTTAGAGAAGATACAAGAACTTTTTTTTCATTAAAGGTGTTGAGTATATACATAATAATTTTTAATTGATTATGTGCCTATTAAAAATATGTATAATAATAATAATAAATATTTACATAAATTCAAATAATTTTTAATTTTTATATGTCTTATATGAAATTATTTTTAACTATTTATTTATATCAATATTTTAGTTATTTAGAAATTAGGACTTGAAACAATAATTTAAATAATGTATTTTTTTTTCAAGAAAAAAATATTTTATAAATTAATTTTTTTGCATGGACTATTGATTGAAGACTAAGTCCCACTATTAATTAATTGAATTATTTTTATCTCATACATATCAATGAAAGACTTGTCTTCATCTTTTACTTTTATGTAAGAAAATATTCAACACTTTTAATTATCGATTAATATTACTATAAGGGTCGAGACACTTCGTGTCTCTAAATTATATACAAATAAAATATTAGAAAGTTGCGTATAATTATTTAGAAAAAATATAATTTTTTTTTCATTTAAGAAATATAATAATTCACTAAAAAATGAAGATCAATAATAATTATATACTCATCCCCTTTATAATAAATATAAATACTCAATACATGTATAAATTACATATTATTACCCTAATTACATTAAAAATATTTACACTTTTGCACACACGTATCTATAATATCTTAATTAATTGTGTAATTAAAAAAATAGATGATACATAAATAGATATAATGGATTATGATAATCTATTATACATAATAACATTAAAAAAAAATATTTGCACTTTCACATGGGCATATTAAAATATCTTAATTATTCTCATGTACTTAATTGTACAATTCAAAATTTAGAGAAATAATAATTGATTAAATTGTTAATTGTTTCTTGCATTATTTTGATGACTTATAATTCTTTTGATCGCTGTGTTCTCATCTCCTCCAGACAAATGAAAAAAGTGAATGGATATTACAAGCGACCCCTTTCTTACCCTCCTGCTGTTGATTTTTCTTCCTCCCATGGCAAGGTATAAACTTTTCTTTGTCATCTTATATAGTTCCTATGTTTGTTATGGACGATGGCATTGTTAATAGCTAATGCCACAAATTGTGTACACACTTATCTTGTTTGATATTATTTTATGATCATGTGTTGGTTTTGGTTGATAAAGTTTTCAATATTACGTGTTGGTTAAATGATAATTGATAAACCTTCTAATATTATGTGTTGGTTAAAATGACAATATTGCCTATGAAATGTAACATGACATTGTTTCTTCTGAAACTACGATGTCCCACATTATCTCTTAAGTTTTTTTTTTACTTTTAATTTTAAGCATAAGGTTTGTAGATAAAAAAAATTGTCATCTTATCCAATGAAAAAAACTGGTCAAACATTTTCATCAACTTACATATTTTTATTTCTGGTAACGAGTCCCATATAAGATAACAAAATTGATTAACTTTCTAAAAGTAGAAATTAGACCGGTGTAGAAATGTAGAAAACAGGTAAACCCTGAAATAGTGCAATCTAGAAAAAAGAAAAAAGAAAAAAAGTTTGCTGTAAGAACATGAAAGATTGTAAAAATGTATGGCAGATAAAACCAGATGCTATGAACATAGAAAGCGTTGAGTTGAGTTAGGTTTTGGAAAGGGTTTTGTTTTGAGTGAATGGCGACAGCAGGATTGTATCACGCCTTCTCCCTTCTCCCCCCGCAGTAGAATTCGCTTCCTCAAAAGGAAAGGTATCAATGGAAGTAGATAAAAATAACATAAATTATGATAATAAGTTAGATAGAGTATATATGCAATTATGTGTTTTCAGATTTACCCACATTTTGTTGATTCAATTTCAGCAACTTTTCTGTGAAGCCATACAGAATGGAACCATGGAAGGTTTCTTCAAGTTGATTTCCTATTTTCAAACACAGTCTGAACCTGCCTTCTGTGGCCTCGCTAGCTTGTCCATGGTTCTCAATGCCCTTGCCATTGACCCTTGTAGGAAATGGAAAGGTACAATTTAAACTCATTACGCATCATTCACATGCTCTTTCTTATAAACTTTTTTATAAATACTTTTAATTGGAATATCAATGCTTTAGATATGTGGTCGTTTTCCAATCATGGTTGGGATTTCACTTAATAATAACATTTACATTTAATGCAAACTTTAATATTGATGTGAAATTTCTGCTCTAAATGGAGAAGAGTATCAATCATATATATGTAGTATTGTAATTAAATTTTCTTCAAATAAGATAAATAGTGGAAGAAAACTTCAACAAACATTATTTCATTTTTTTTTCTTAGAAGTATTTCCAAAAAAGTTTATCCAAACAGAATGGATTGCCCTGAATTTTGCCTTTGGGGTGATGCAATTTATTTTGTAGGGCCTTGGAGATGGTTTGATGAATCAATGTTGGATTGTTGTGAACCGCTAGAGACAGTCAAAGTTAAAGGCATCAGCTTTGGGAAACTTGTGTGTTTGGCTCATTGTGCTGGGGCAAAAGTTGAAGCCTTTCGTGCTAGCAGTAGTAGTATTGAAGAATTTCGTAAGTATGTCATTGAGTGTTCACGTTCTACTTCTAAAGATTGTCATGTCATCTCATCATACCACAGAGCTGCTATCAAACAAGTATGTATTATGGTTTGTAGAATTTTGATATAATAGGAAAAAATATTTCTTATCACCTCTTACACTGATTCATATAATTCTTCTCTATTTATTTTGGTAAATACAATTGGAGCATATATGAATGAAGAGTAAATTTTGATTTTGTGTTTTTAACAGACTGGAGGGGGTCACTTTTCTCCTATCGGAGGATATCACCGTGAAAAGGACATGACACTTATTTTAGATGTTGCACGTTTTAAATATCCTCCTCATTGGGTCTCTCTTGAAGTTCTCTGGGAGGGCATGAATTATGTTGATGACACTACTGGACTAACTAGGGGGTAAACTTTTTTGTTTATATTTTATATTATTTTTTTAATGATTTTGATACCTATTAATTTTAGTCCTACTGTTTAGAGCAAAAGAGTTAGATAATCTGCTTAACGATAACATTTTTTCTTATATGATTTAAATGATATTTGTTTTGCTCAATTTTTTACCCTCTTCAGGTTCATGCTTATATCAAGGCCTCACAGGGAACTTGGCATGCTTTATACTCTGGTATTTTTCTTTTTATTAAATAATGAAATGTCATTGTGTGTTTATATTATTGGGTGGTTTTTTATTTCTGCATTTGTTTTAGATATTTTTATATTGATAAATTATTTTACCGTCAATTAAATCCGTATGCTAATAAGAAATAAACAATAGTTGAGTTAGGTTTAATACTTTAATTCATATGGTAAAACTAAGTTCATACAAAAAGTTGGAAAGTTAATTTGCTCTATGCAGGTCGTGTATGTTTGTAACTTGTATCTTTTTTACTCTGAAATTATATAAATACAAGATGTCTGTGTATGTGCATTGTGTCATTTGTATTTTGTATTGTTTATATTGGTGTGTTGGATGTATTTTTCAGAGTTGCAAACACGAGAGTTGGTTTAAAATTGCAAAGTTCTTAATGGACGATGTTCCAAATCTATTAAAATCAGAGGATATGAAAGATATTCATCATATTTTTTCAAGAATAGTCACATCACTTCCATCTAATTTTGAAGAATTCATCAAATGGGTCGCAGAGATCAGGAGACAAGAGGACGGTGGTCCAAGTATAACTTCAGATGAGAAAACAAGACTTGCTGTAAAGGTATAATATGTTTAATCTCATTATTTCATAATTACTCTATTGTTGCTTATTCATTTAGATTTTATAAAATCTTTTGCATCGTCAACTAATAACATGTTACATTGATATAATTTTTAAGATAATTATATTAAAAGTTAATAAATTTATCATACCGCGATAAGTTAATAAATTTGTTATACATGGTGATTTGTGTTATACATTATTGATGCATCCGTTTTTTCTGTATTCATTTTACTTTGTAATCTCATTTGGTAACTTTTTGTTGTATAGGAAGAGGTATTGAAACAGGTACAGGAGACTGTGCTTTTCAAATATGTGGACTCGTTGTTGGCAAATTCTTGCAATAGACAGATATCAGCTTCGGTTAATGGAAACACGTTACCTGTCATTGCTGCAAGTATTTGTTGCCAAGGAGCAGAAATTTTAGGTGGAAAATCAGACTCATCAACAGGTTATTGGTGTCAAGAGACACATATGAAATGCTTAAAAGCTGAAGATGATAAGCCGATAACAATGGTTCCTGAGACTGTGGTAAATGGTAACTCCGAGCATGGGATTGATGTGTTGATTCCTTCATCATCTGGGAAATTATGCTACAGTTGCTCTAATCCAAGTAAGAACATTAGCATGCACCCTGCTGGCACTGATGTGCTAACAGTGCTTCTACTGTCCTTGCCATCTACAACATGGGACGGCATCACAGATGAGCAACTTTTGGCCAAAATACGTGATCTGGTTCCAATTGATAATCTTCCTACTTTGCTTCAGGAAGAGGTAGTTATCTCATCTGTTTTTTTTTTAATTATATTTTGTCATTCATATTTTATGATTTTACAAATTTTGTCACCTAATATTTAAAATTACATATTTGTCACCAACTTTTTGAAATTTTGCCCATATTAACAATCTCTTAATCAATTGTAAAATTATGAAACATGTAACATGATGGGAAGAAGTGCAATTAAGCTTATTTTTCTAAAATGAATTGAATAGCATGACTGTATTATGCTATTCTACTCTATCTTCATTCTTGAACTTCGACTTATGATAATCAACTTTGATTTCAGGTTTTGCAGTTGAGACGGCAGCTACACCTTCTCAAGAGATGTCAAGAAGGTAAGGTGGATAAGGATCTTGGTGCGCCTTTTTCTTAGCATCCCCTCATTTTTGATCGTTCATTCTCAAGGCTAAGCCATTGAGCCAGAGTCTATTGACAACGGAAACATATATTATATAGAGCCTAGAATACATCCATTGACCTTGTGTCACAACCGAAGTTTTTTCTTCTTCTTTTGTACCTTTAATTCAGTGCTGCTAATTACATTATTTTTTTCCAGTTTATAATATTGATTCACTTTTGGTGATAGTATGAAGTTTTCGATTAAATTCTTGTACTTTTTAAATATTGTTTAGTTCTTGTATGATTATGACATTTATTAAACAAATTATAACAAATTAAAAAAATATACTTTATCGTTAAATTATCATGAGGCTAGTGACGGATCTAGAAAATTTATTAAGTGAGGCCAATAAAATATTTTATAATATTTTTTATTAAAAATATATTAATTTTTTTTAAAGTATATTTTTGTGATAAAAAATTTAATATACCTGTTTTTATAAATTAAAATTTTCTCATAAATAGAGTGGCAAATTCTTTTTTTTTTCTTTTCTGTCTGATATTATATTTAAGTATGATGTAATTTTTAGTGATTTATTTAATTTTAGAGGAACAAAATGATATAAATTATTAATATAAAGATAATATAATTAATATTTATTTTCTTTTATATCTCTTCTAAATTTTTACGTTCAATCAAAATAAAAATGTTTTATGAGAACAATGCCTATTTTTTTATAAGAGTAAATATATTTTTATTAAATTTGTTTAAATAAAAAATAAATAAAAATTTTGTGTGACAATTACTTTCATTTCTCTTAATTTGGATTCTCTCTTACCAACACATAATGAACATATATAAGATTAAAAGAGTTAAAAACTAAAATAAAAATTAAAAAATAACTTATATTTGTAAACTAAATTATGACATCTTTAATAAATAAAGAAGTAATAAATATTTCAGTCAAAAAATAAAGTATATTATAATAATATAAAAAATTAAGACAATTTTATCATAGAAAAAAATAATTATTACAAAAAATATTACATATAACCACATATAAAAAGTGTTATTGTAATTTATTTTTACACTTTTTAATAATATATTAACATATATTGTATTTATAATATATATAAAAATAATTTTTAGTGATAAGTATCATATTTTTATAAAATATGTGTCATTATTTAATATTTTTTTATAATAAATTAAAATATAATTTTATATATAATTATGAAAAGTAAATAATAATATATAAAAATAAAATAAAGAGAGAAATTTTAGTGGTGGCAACTGCCCCCCACTTTGATATGCATGCATCCGTCACTGGCCGACAAACCTACTTGAGACTTAAAAAAAGTTAAACATAAACTTGATATTTTAAAAACCTATTTTATCGATGGGAGTATATATTTCTATTTTCATTCTTCGGACCGACATGGCTAATAATTTAATGCCTTTCTAAAAGATATGTAAAAAATTACACATAAACTTTGTAATGACCCGGCTGGTCACTATACACAACACAACATACCAGAATACTACACAGAAACAAACAAGTATATACATATAGGATCTAGAATATATATATATACAAGGTCCAAATCCGTTTAGAATCAAAGTGTACAAAATACATCCAGCAAAAGCTAACTAACTAGCTAAATACATCAAATGAATGAAACTCCATCTGATAGCTGCAGACTCTCCTCAACAAAACACCAACCTAACCCTGCCCTGCTCCCATACATAGTATGATCATCGCAACCCACATGGAAACAACAAATGGTAAGCTAGCGAAAAGAATCAACATACATATGTGAAATATGAATGATAAACAACTACAACTATCAGTACATCAGCCAACTTAACATCAGCTTAAAATATCACAGCATTCAGCAATAACAGCAGCGACATAGCGGCTATAGCACCACAATAGTGGCTAATAACAACACCGGCATAACGACTATAATATCACAATAGTGGTTAATAACAGCACCGGTATAGCGGCTATAACAACACCTCAATAGTGGCTAATAACAGCACCGGCATAGCGGCTATAGTACCACAATAGTGGCTAATAAAAGAAACGGGATAGCGGCTATAACAACACCTCAATAGTGGCTAATAACAGCACCGACATAGCAGCTATAGCACCATAATAGTGGCTAATAATAGTACCGGCATAGCGGCTATAACAACACCACAATAGTGGCTAATAACAGCGCCGACATAACGGCTATAACAGCATACATCTCAGCACAGCACAACAATATTAACATCCAGCACAACAATATACATCAAATACAACTTTAAATTAGCATAAACGACATTCGGCACAGCTCAGCTAATGGAACCACTTGGAGAAGATAGTTGTTCATCCAAGTCTCCATGCAAAGGACCGAAGAACTCTTGAGGTAGAAATCCTTTGAGGTGGCGGAATCACCTTGGAGGATTCTCCAATGGTGGAGAAGCAATGGAATAGGTTCGGTTACTTCCTAGCTTGTGAAGGAAGCTTGAGGAACCAAGGCAAAGTTTGAAGAAACTTTGGTAAAAACCTTAGAGAGAGAGTTCTCTTCGGTTTTAGGAGGGACTTTTGGAGAGAAATCTGAAGTTTTATTTCTCAAATGCTCAAAAGTGATTACAAGAGAGGGATTTACAAATTTATAGGGAGAGGTAGCTTCTAGGAGAAGCTAACCTTAACCATGGTTCACTAGGAACCATGGTAAGGTGTAGCTAACCATCCATGGTTTCTAAAACTTGTAGGAGAAGCTAACCTTGACCATGGTTCACTTAAGAACCATGGTAAGGTCAGCCTAACCTACCAAGGTTTAGAAACTTGGAAGGCAAGCTTCAAAGCTTGAAGGAGAAGCTACCAAATTTCGGCCAAGAACAAAGGTGAAGGCTAGGCGGCCAAGGCTCCAAAATGCTCCTTGATTTATTTCAAAAATATTTGATTTGGTTTAGTTAGGTTCATCATATGATGATGAGACCTAGCTAAATCAAATCTATGAAAAATTAGGAGCAAAATGAGTCTAATATGCAAAATTTTGCCTAGGCCTAGTTCTGGCCCAATTACTAGTCACACCCTCAAGCATTGCTAAATGCCACCCCTTTTTCCCTACTGAAAAAATATAAAATGAATGTATCAACAAAGGAGGTTAAATGGAGTTAAACTCTCCAAGTAACCCACCCTAAAATCAATATACAATCACTAATTAAAAGCAAGTAAAGTGCCTCACAAATACAAAGGCAAAATTAGACCTATACAAAGGAACTATGTACAAAATATATGAAAAAGGTCTTTAAGATCATCCCATTCCTCTTGGTTCTTTTAAGATATCACCTCTTGGATTCCTTGCCCTTGGCCATAGTCTATCATCCCCTCCCTCTTGAAAAGGATTTGACCTCAAATCTCGAGGGTCTTCATGATTATTGGCCATACCTACAAATATATAATAAAATTCATTAGAGGTGATATTTTCAACAAATAAATGTGAACGATATATGCTAGAAGGAATCCTTTCATGGAACCTAAAGAAATCTATGATACTAGACCTTCTAATATAATGAATAGGATCCTCTCCTAAACATAGACTATGTATATTACTAAATACTAAAAATGTGCTAAAACTAAAACTATATCACACTAAAGACTAGATCCTAAAAACTAAAATATCTTGCCTAAAGTACCCTATGTGGTAACCTAGGCATTTCCTAGAAAATAAGGAAAATACTACTAAGAAATTTCCTAAACAATTTTGGATTATATTATTTGTTGGATAGTTATGAAAAGAATTTGTCACAAGGAACCTTGAAGGTTCAGATGTTATATCCAACAAATAATATATTCCATAAATTGGGTGCATTATTGAAACAACTAAGGTAGGAAAAGTCCTACACAAAGGAAGGCTATCTACCTTGGGGACCACCAAGGAAGTAGCATGAGAAGTGGAACTAAGTGAAGTCCACTTCTCCTTCACCAAATCTTGAAGTTGAGACTCTTTTTCTTTAAAAATAATGGATTTATGAATCTCCTCCTCAAGACTAGTGGCAGAATGAGGGCAAGAGTTAAGATCTTTATGAATAAAGAGAATTTTTTTCATAGGATTTTTAGTACTAAAACAATTCTCTTTAGTCACAAATCCTTTAGAGGATATTTCTTCCTCTTTACTCTCCCCTGCACAAAGTTCTTTCTTTCTTTTTTCTGTTTCTTCTTTTCTTTTGATTTTCATTTGTCTTCTTCTTTTGTGTTTTCTCATGTCTTCTTTCAATTTTTCTTCTTCTTGTTTAAGAATTCTCAACTTCTCATCTAGGATAGTAAGTTTGGCCTCTCTTTCAATTTTCTCTTTCTCTTTTTGAAAGGCCTCTTGCTTCTTCCATAGTTTAAGTGATTTTAGCTCTTTTGTTAAGTAAGAAATGCTTTTAGGAGAGCTATCACTTCCACTATAGTTGGATTGTTGAGACATTTTAAACAACAAGATTTTTCTCTTCACACAAAAATAGATTTTAAGAAAATAATATTTTTGAAGTGCTTAGACTTGGCACTTAGAGGTCTAAGAGTACAAATTGAACTATGGAGGGAGGTGAGCTACTAAAGAGCCACTTAATAACCAAGCCTCTTCAAGTAAAAATCTCTAAACCCCCTTGTACGTTTGCCTTGCACAAAACAATTTTCACAAAGATATTTTTCAAAGAAAAATAACAAGCAAGTGCCTAAAGTGTACAATTAATCAATACTTGAAAACATAAATGGCAAGAAAACATAGATTGCTTGAAAACTTAAATTGCTGAAAACATAAATTGCTTAAAACATAAATTGCATGAAATCTTAAAGACAAGAAAACATAAACTAGGCGTTGAAAGCAATTAAACCTATGTGAGAGCTTAAAAGGCACCAAAGACCTTCAAGGACCCTCTCACAAGTACTACACGGTTTTACTATTAGAACACTTAAGGAGAGATGGAGATACACCAAAGGCACTCCAAGACACTCCTTAATAAAGGCCTTGTACAAAAAAAAGGAGAATTGAAAATTTACAAAAAAAAAATGAAATGCAAATTTACTTCAAATGAAATGCAAATTCACACTCCAAATGAAATGTAAATTCACACCAAATGAAATGTAAATTCACAATCAAATGAAATTAGTGGCTGCACTTAATTTCAAAGAAAACAAATTAGCCACTAA